ACATATTTTGATTTAAAAAGATACATTATTATGATAAGAATAAATTTTATTTTGATATTTGTATAGTGAATTGCAAAATTCTTCGAAAACACTATCGTGGAAATTTTGCAACAATATGCTTTTCTACCGAAGCAAATGCTACATTTTTATTAAAGAACAAAAATTAAGAGAAAACGGAACTTGAGATAAATAATGCACTATGTTGAAATTATAAAAAATCTTGTTATCATACACGTGTGTTTTCTTGAATAATCTTTTAAAGCAACACTTATATGTGTATACGTTGAATAATAAGAAAAGATAAAAAAGCGATATGACAAGCGGTATGTAGCAAGTGACACATGTAGCACATATAGTATCACTTTATATCGCGATAATGCCTTTCTCTTTGCATAAGATGCAATTCATCAAGTTAAACAAAAAACAAACGTTCTAGATAAGCTTTCAAATAATGAATAAGTCTGTGAGCTATAGTTTACAGTTGGTAGTGGTGAAAAAACAATGAGACAATGCTGCTAAGTTTATTAGAACGTTTCGATCCTCTCTTTATTTATTTATTTATTAATGTCTGTTATTTTCACATTATAAGATACATGGTCGGAAAGAGTTTTTCAATTAATTTATACAGATTGGCTGAGGATGATCATAAAATAAAGAGGATCGAAACTTTGTAATAAATTTAGTAGCATTGTCTTGTTGTTTTTCTCACTACCACTAACTGTGGACTGTTGCTCGCAGATTTATTTATTATTTGAGATTTTATTTGGAAGCTTGTTATTATTATTATTATCAAATATATTCTAGACGAGAATATAAATTATTGTAATTGTTTACGTTGAGTTTGCAAAAACACAATTTCGTACTAGAAAATATATTTCATTTTGATCAATACAATGTATCTTCCGCGAGAACAAAATGCAGTTTTAATGATAGAAGTGAATGATAGAAGTAAAAATTTGAGGTTTTTAAGACGACAAAAGCACATTGTTACTGGAGACTGACTTTTTTTTTTTACAAAGACTGCATCGTACTACAATACACATTGCATCATCCTAAAGAGATCTGATTTGACAGAGATGCCCTTGCACGATATGTTCGTTGACGTTCAACTAATTTACACTTTACATAAAAGTTGTGTAAAAAAAGAAAGTCAGTTATAAACCTGTCGTTAGACATGCGGCTTACGTATGTACATACATATGTACGCGTATATCAATTGAAACGGTCGGCAGTCCATTGACCGTTCCCTGGTCATTTCTATGAATAGTAGAATCGATATAGGGTTCACGAACTTTCATAAGCGAAACAAGTTCTCGGATAAAGAACGCACGAGTTGCGTTCGTGTTCGGAAGGTGAAGGTTTATCTGCAAGATAAAAAAGATAAAGTGATTTATGACTGAAAGTTCGAGATTAAAATTTCATATATGTTTTCAAAAAACAATTTACAAGTGTAAAAAATCAGTGTACGTATGAAAAATTATATTAGTTATATAACTTCAACACACACATCAATGTATATTTTTATACTATTAGAAGGAATTAAAAATATGTGAGAGAAATATAGATTATTACTTTATAACTACTCTATAACTACTCTATAACATACTACTACATTACTTTATAACTACTCTATAACATACTACTACAAAATGTTTTAGAATTTGAGACAAAATTTTATATATACACTATTTAAATATTTTTGCAATATTGTATGTACAGTGTCTAAATATCGCATTATCTCTCGTGGACAGGTAAAGCGAATATTAAGTCAAAAAATCACATCAGTTTGCAAGTTTCGTAATAATAAATTAATTTGAATGATATACACGTATGACGCGGAAACAGTTCAGCGGTTTGCATTGATCTCAAGGTTGCTGGGATTTTTAACATGTGAATAACATTTGCAGATCTTTATGAATTAAGAATTTATCTTAGATTTTGAAACTCAATTGTAAAATAGTAAACAACTTTTTGACTTAATATAACTCGTTCCATCTACGAGTGCTGATATTAAATCTTAATAATGAAAGAGAAACGCAGAAAACTATAAATCCTATGATTTGTTATTATTGTCATATGTATACATTTTGTTTTGTGCGCTCCAAAACTAATATTTTTTATAAATATAAAAAATTTCTATAAATATAAAAAACTATAAATTCTAATTCGATTGTTACTCATTACATTCTGCTTTGTATCAAATATATATACAATATTGTTGCCTTGTATCTGTGTGTCTTAATCTTGAGTAGAAAGACTGAAACATCTTTTTGTGATAAATTTGTAAAGTTTGCTTTTAATGAGAGAGAGAGAGAGAGAAAGAGAGAGAGAGAGAGAAAGAGAGAGAGAGAGAGAGAGAGAGGAGAAGGTGGCGGCGAGCGAGCAAAAGTATTAAAACATAAATATCTATAAAAAAAAGTCTATATATAAATATTAACACTATATACTCTAAAAAAGAAAGGTAGGTAGCTTGGCCCA